TCGTAGTAGAGCTTTGTACAACTCCAAATGATGGATGCACATGAAATATAGGCAAAATAAAAAACCAGTTAAAAGGTCGAGACAATCAGATTATTTTTGACCAGAAACAACCAGAGTTTGAGATGTCTGTCTATGAAGTGGGTGGGTTTGGTGCTGTTCCAGTGCAATGCCACTGGAAGTGAGGGATATGCCAGCTGCATATAATTGCCTAGGGGATGCCCAAGTACGTATACTCAGTGCTTTTCCGCTCTTCAAGGAGTCTCCTTCTATGTCCCACCCTAAGCAAGCCCCTAAGAGTTAGTAGTCCAATAATCGCCTGATGAAGCCCTGGCCTTCAAATCTGGTAGAAGGATTAAATAACAGGACACACATCTCCCAGGATAGTGCATCCCTCCATGTGGCAAGGGTCATCTTCAAGGTTGGGTGTGCCTCATTGTCAAATAGTATGGACAAGTGGGTGCTTCTGACTAATCAACATGTGTCTCAGTTACATGTCCGCAAGAAAAGCCACCACCCATTTTAATAAATAAACTGGGGGGGGAGGGGAATCAAAATTATTCTAGTGAAATCCTCTCAGTATGAGAGCCATAGAGACAGCTCCTTCCATAGAAAAGTCCTCTAGGTTTATTTGTTTGTTTTTTCATTTTCAACTAAAATTTCCCCGATTATTTTCAAAGGAAACAATTCAGAATGTATTGAGATCCATCATAGAGACCCATCCATCTGGGAAGCTAAAGCCTACCTCCACGGTTCCCATTCAAGAGTTACACAAAAAAATCTGTGCTTTTCTTACAGTCCAAGAAGAATATCAATACAGAACATTTTTATATGGCCTATTGTTAGCTCTTTGAGTATTCCAGGTGGTGATGCTGGCTCTGGTTGTTTGTCTTTGAACCTGAGGATATTTTAGGTTCATTGTTTATCCAGATGACCTACTACTCAGGGAACAATCATGCAACCGTGTCACCCAGAACACACCTGATCCTGTGAGATTTCAGAAACTAAGCAGGGCAGAGCCTGGTTAGTACTTAGATGGGAGAGCAAGGAATACAGATGAACCTTCAGTAGGAAATGCCTTGTCTGGAATTCTAGGTACCTGCTACCAGCTAATGCTGGCAGTTGTGGGATAGATGGACCAATATATAAGGCAGTTTCTTTTGCTCCTAGTGACAGTAGTCACAGGTCCTGTGCCACCAACTGCTGCTGAGAGAGAGAAGGAATGTGGTGTGTTCTACAGGGACAATAGTTCCATAGCAATTCAGAGTGTCCCGTGCTCGAGGATGATAGCAGAGATATTTCTGAAGAGGGTTTTTATGAAATGGGCAGTAAAATCTTGAACTGTCTTATGGAATGCCCTGTCCTTATGGGATGTTCACACACTTAAAGTTTTGACATGTCTAAGTTATCCATCAATCATATGGCTTCAGTTCCATACTTTTGTGATTTTAGCTTCAGGTCTTTTTCTTTTGTTTCTCTGCATATAGTATGTTGTCCTTATTTATTAAGTCACCCAGTCTTGTTTCATAGGTGTTAGAACAGTTGAGTCAAGTTCTGCAGCTGAGAGGTTTCTCCTTTTATTGAGGAGGAGGAGGATGACTATTGGTTAATTTTGGCCCTTTCCTAGGAGAACAGGAAGAACCCTTTTGGGTATGCTGTACCCCTCCACTAATTGGAATAATACTTGATGGTAAGTCCAACTGTTCAGACAAAGTGGTTTAGTCTACAAACGAATCAACAGGGACGATAATCCCTCCATTATGAGAGGTTCCAGATGATTGCTTAGGAGTTCCATTAGTCAGTTCTTATTGCAAACAGTCACAGCGTGGGGAAAGTGACAGGGAAGCCACTCTCCCTGTTAATGTGCCATCAAGCTCCCCCACAGAGATCAGGATAATGGCGCTAAACTTAGAATCACTTCCCTGAGCTTTTAGTCCAGAAGCCGAAGAAAACCAGGAAAAGGAACAACCCAATAAAGAGGGTCATTTCAAAAAGGAAGAAAGGTAGGGAGAGAAATCAATGATTAAGGAGACTATTTCCGGTGGGGAAAGAAACCTGGAAAACTCACCAATGAAAGGATAGAATCAGATAGCTTGGGGGAAAAACTGAGACAAACCCTAGGAGACAGGAGCTAGAGGGGGAAGAAGGAGAGGAGATAAAAGAGGAGGGGAACACAGAGAAGGGTGTAGAAGGAGGCGAGTTGAAAGGAGAGAAGAAGGCAAGGTTGAATACAGAGCCAGAAGATGACTTACTGGAGGAATGGGAATGAATCAAGATAGAGGATCCATGGACTAGAGATAAAGTCAAACCAAAAGTGCCAAGGAATGAGGCAGAAAGAAGAAGAGTGGACTACCCTGAAAACCCTCTTATTGGGGTGAAAGTGAGTTAACAGAATGAAGAAGATTAGAGAAAGAGAGAGAGAGAGGAGGGCAGAAGATAGACAAGAGAGACAAGGGAGGATGCCTGGTGTTGGTTTTAAAGAAGAGAAGCAATCTCTTGAAAGTGCAAGAAGCAGGAGATTCTGCCAAAGAGAGAGTGGTAGAGGTGGATTAGGGATGTCACCACTTCTGTAGACATCTATGTGTGGCCTGCTGTCTTCCCCTTGCAGACAGACTGATCAGGAGAGGTTTGGTGGAGCTTTCCCACTTTTAGTGAGAACTGAGTTTGATATGATGAGGGACAATTGGTAGATATGGTTGATAGGAGGCTTTGATAGGAGGTCCATATAGAAATTATGGATACTGTTGGTTTTTTCCCCCAGAAATCTTTCTACATTTATATGGTGATAGTCTAATTCTGATGCCTTGTCCTGCTACTATTTGAAAAGCTGAGGTCTCTAATGGAGCCTTTTACCTCAGTGGGCAGCATAAAGTGGTAATTAATGGAGTGGAAACTCTGGTTTCATACCCCACCAAGTGTGCTGGAGTAGCTTTTTGGAATATGTTTGAAAGAGGGCCATTGTCCTTATGTTGAAATCCATAGATAAAGCTCTTGTAAGAAACAACTGTACAGTATCCTACAATAAAAAAATAGTGTCATGGAGCTTGGTCTATGGCCTTTCTCTATATCAGGTCAAAAGCAGAGTTCAATCAATAAATGTTGTGTTTAAATATTTGTAAATAAGTAACCTAATCTGGATTAATTGCCTGTTCATATGGCTAGCTAAAGTAAATCGTCTTTTGTAGAAAATCCTGAACTGAGATCTGCTTATTCTTCAGAAATGACATCGCTCTTCAGTCTGGTTGCATACTCCATATACAGTTTTGAAATAATGATTTCCTGATTATGACACTTTTAAAAAACTACCTTTTCTCAGAAGTGTAACTGCCTCATTAGAGCTAGGTTATTTGAGGCCTCTTACTCTCTTTTCATTAACCTTTAAATATTTCTTATATTAGATGGGCAGGAGCAACAACCACGGAGAAAGATGGGAAAATTGTGGGACAGGTTGAAAAATATGAATTGCTAGCTTCTCTTGAAAACCTGTTTAAGTTTCAACTAGAGAAATATGTGTAAATGCTGTAATCCTTTAGCATCATGGCTGATGGGCTAACATTAAATTATATCTAATGAAAAATATGAAAAACAATGGTTTTTAGTGATGATTTCATCAAATTCTGATTGCAGTTTGATCAACTCAGAATTCAGCAGCATAAAAGCAAAAGATGGGCTAAGCAAAATTGGACAGAGACTGGCAACTCTATCCCGCTTTTCCTATAAACCAGTAATGTAACACTCTCTTAGTTTGCTGTCATCCATTTATTGTAGCATAAGGAGGATGGAGTTAGTAGGACAGACCTATGGATACTTGTTCTAAGGGCTGTGAGTAGTCCTTCCCCTCTCATTGCCTCCCTGCAGCTCTGAAAAAGTTCCCACATAGTTTCACTGCTGAGCACCACAGCATTGCAAGATCCATGCCCCCTTTAAAAACTGCAGGGTTCCTATATTTTGCTGCTTTATCCATCCCCAGATCATGGGTTGAGTTGGCTGGGTGTATTTCATGTGAGCAACAATAATATTTCAGGTATGAATGAAAACCATACTTCATTGCAGGCTTTCAGGTACAGCTGGGGGGGGGGGGGCTAGACACCAAACCATTTTTCTGGGCCCTATAGCCATTTATACTTGAGATAATTATTTATAGCTTAAAAGGAAAAACTAAAGCTTCAGACTTCCTTGATTTGAATATATTTAGGTTAAGTTGCATTGTACAATGCAGCACTATACCTTTCTATTCAAACATAAGCCTTGCTAAACTGGTATTTCCTCTGACATAGCATGTATAGGATTGCAGTCTAACTTAATTTTGTGAGACTGATATATAAGAGGCTGTGAGGTCTGAGAATAAAAACAATGAAAAGCATGTTCTAAATATATAAATTCTTGCAGCAGATTTGAATTTGAATAAGTTGACAAATATGTGCTCAGGTAAATCGGCGATTATATGATTTCCTACTTAACAAGTATATTTTAAACAGTTACAATGGGGTCTTGACTTAAGAACGGCTCGAGTTAAGAACATTTTGACTTAAGAACCACTCTCATAGGAAAATATTGACTTGACTTACAATATATAAATTCTTGCAGCAGATTTGAATTTGAATAAGTTGACAAATATGTGCTCAGGTAAATCGGCGATTATATGATTTCCTACTTAACAAGTATATTTTAAACAGTTACTGTATATGCTGCCTTGAAGGCATATAACTCCCGAAGCAGTTTAAAATATTTTGAAACAATACTGTCAGTAAAATAATAATGCAGTACAAGAGCAGAGAATTTAAATAACATTTAAAAGGCCACAATAACAGATCAGTTGAACTTGCTTTTATATGTCATCAAGTTTCTTCCAACATACGGTGACCATAACAGGGTTTTCAAGATATGTGAGATGTTCAAGGCACCACCCATGAGTTAGCTGCAAAACCGTGGAAAGCGCTGATCAATTTTCTTCAATAAAAAGTTGGGTTACAATTTTTCTTTATTTCTGTACTTTCTTTTAGGTCCCAAAATACTTGTCTCAGCAATGGAATAAAGCTTCAGGAAGAGGTGAAGTAGGGAAGCTAAGAATTGCCAAGTAAGAGTGCTTATATTTTATATTTTCTGGTTGGAGGTTTATTACATCTTTTTTCTGGGAAGGTGATGAATACGGTGTGCATGTGCTTTATACTATTACAAAATATGCTTGGCATGCAAGCTCTCTTATTTGAAATGTACCTCACAGCAGAACCGCTCTATCTTCTGTTACACCCTCAATCTCTGTATTCTCTCTTCTGACTAGAGCTACATATGCTGCGCTAATGAAGGTCTTCATAGGTTTTCTGCATCATTTGTACATGTTAATAAAAAGAACGAATCTGAAGTTGTATTGCAACTCAAGATGCTTCCCATGCAGATTATTATTTGATTTTTTTTTAATTGCTCAGAGTGGCAGACAACTATCACAACACTACAATGTTTATTCATTCTAGATATCATTGCTAGGGCAAAATATGGTCTGTTTATGATGTTGAAACTATTAGTACTTTTATAGATATTCAGGAGCAAATGCAGAGCAGGAAGTGCATCAAAGCCTATGGCAGAACTCTTTCATTTATGTAATGGAAATCTAAGCCATTTATATTGTTTAAACACATACGCACACATGCATGTGCACAAGTAAATGTGTACATGTACATATACACATTCATATACAGTAAATGTGTGTTCCTGTCTCAGATAAAGAGGCCCATGAGTTAGCTGCAAAACCGTGGAATGTGTGTTTAGTCGTTTTTTCGTGTCCGACTCTTCGTGACCCCATGGACCAGAGCACGCCAGGCCCTCCTGTCTTCTACTGCCTCCCGGAGTTGTGTCAGGTTCATGTTGGTTGCTTCGCAGACACTGTTACTACTCTGAGTGACTAACAAAAGGACACACAGTCATAAACAATAATGATAAAAACAATAAAATGACAGGGGAAAATGGGGTTCCAGACGTAACTGTAGGAACCACAAACAAAAAATAGGAAAATTTGCAAGTTGGTGGCAGAAGGGATACATAAAAATAGTTAATTAGGGACAAATTATTCAAAAACTTGGGAAAACAACCAATATCTTCATCTGCAGCCAGTACAGATGATCAAGGATAAGGGTTATATGGTCACAAAGAGGTGTTCCAGAGACCAGCCTGGCATCAGTGTTTTGCACCTGCTTCAGCTTCCGAACCACCTTCAAGGGCAGTTCTATATAGAGAGCGTTGCAGTAGTCTTTCAAGATTAGACGCACACAGACTAAGGGACTTCCTGTCGAGATATGGTTGAAGGTGTGCGATCCATCTCAGCTGGTAAAAGATGGACTTGGCCATAGCTGAAATCTGATTCTCTGTTGAGAGGGCTGGGTCCAACAGCACAACAAGTTTACATACCTGATCCTTCAGGGGGAGTATGAGCCCATCAAGACTGGACAGACTGCCGCAGAATCAATCAGGGGTCTTGCCTAACAACTTATCTGGATTCAGTTTCGACCTGTTAGCCATTTCCAATCCATAACTGTGGCCAGGCAATGCACCAGGGTCTGCACAGCTTCCACCACTGAGGAGGAAATGGAGACATATAGTTGTGTGTCATCAGGATACTGATGACAACAAACTCCAGAACTCTGGATGATCCTTCCCAGCGGTCTCATGTAGATGTTGAACAACGTAGGGGGTGTGTGATCAACCCCTGTGGGACACTGCATTGAAGCACCCAAGGGTACGAAACAGCCTTCCCCAACCGAAGCCTCTGATACCGGCCCTTGAGGAAGGAGTGGAGTCAGCTCAATGCTGTGCCACCAATCTCTAACCAATCTAGGCCTGGATTGAAGCCATTTATGCCTCCAGGAACATCTTCCCCCACCAATCTCTAACCAATCTAGGCCATTTATGCCTCCAGGAACATCTTCCCCATTCTAGGCTCTACTATTGTTTAAGAAGCCCTTAAAGGAGCAAGTCTTTGGTCTTGAAACCTAGCATTCTTCTTCTCAAGCGATTGCCTCCAAGCAGTGTGCTTGAATCACCAGGGGATGCAAGCCCCTTGCATGGGGTAGGTTGATTTCTTATTGCTGGGATGTGGATTCTGCAGGAACTCTGTGATCCTAGCTCAGAGGTAGGACTGTGGCTTAAGGATCCCTATACAGTTCTGATAGACTTAGGCCCAGTTGTAATGCTGTGGGCCAGGTTGGTTTCCAGTGCTCAGCTCCTGAGTCTGCTGGTTCTGCAGATCTGAGCAGCCCCTCCTCACTGGAGAAAGAGGTTTAAGGTTGGGATCCCAATGGTACTATAAATTATATCAGTTATGCGGTATTGGTTTCAATTTTTGAACATATTGCTTGTACTCTGGAAATAATAATAAACATTAAAAAACTGTTTTCTTTGTTTATTTCACAGAAATCAAGGAAGAACTGAGGTAAGTGAATTGAATTGCAGATACTATAGGATAGGGTAAGCTATTTTCTGTGTAGAAGCTATATAGAAGGGTTTGTCATAAGTCCAAATTAACTTGATGGCACATGATTGTTGTTAATCTAATTCATGACATTGCATATGGCTCTGAGTGGTATCACTTCCAGTGGCGTGGAGTTAGTTTAATGCAAACTCTTATGCAGTTTCAGCAAGGTTGTAGCATTGGGGAATTCAGGTCAAGAAGTGAGGCCCAAAAGAAAACATTCCTACAAACTATAAGGTAATAACCTAGACAAAGAAGAGGACAAATATTTTTGTAAGTGTCAGCGATAGTAAATGTAAAACTGTTTTTTTTTTAAAAGAAGAAAGGTGGTGTGAATTAACTACTGAATTGTCCTGTGTTGCTTTTTCTTGAGGGAAGGCAACATATGGATTAGAAAGAGCCTTTAGAAAATGGAGTAAACTGACTTTTTCTCTCAGGTGACTCCCTTCTCTGGAAACTTTTTGTGAAGCTCACAGGGCTTTTTCCTCACAGCAACCTACAAATTTACAATTTCAGCTATTCATAGTTTGATTTTATAGTCATTCTGTTTTTGTGGGGTGATATAATGAAAGCTATCCCTTAAATTTGGTGGATGATAGGTATGCATCTTCTTACCCTTGTACAAAAGATTTTTTTTTCTAGTTGAGATCACACAGTTATACCAAGCTACTTCCAGACATTTGGTTCTGCCAAAGGTCCTTGGCTCTTTAGTTTCTGCCCCTTTTGCTCCTTGATGCAGGGTCACTGCCCTTCATCTACCCTGCTTCACTGGCATAGTTTCCTGTCCTGTGCATTTTGTTCAGGCAGGCTGGCAGCTCAGTCTCTAGGTTGCAGAGTTACTGATGATAGACTTATCAATAGATGTGGCAGATGAGACTGCAAGGCAAGAAAATACACATAGAAAGTGTTGGTAATAGGAAAGCCCAGACATTGTCTTGAGTTAATCAGGTTGATTCTTATAAAAACTATTATTCATTTAATTAAACCAATTAATCAGTTGGTTATTTCAGATTTTATTGTTGATATATTATTGACATACTCAAATGAAGAACAGTAGAGGAAATTCTTTGAGAGGTATTAAAAATCATTTCTGAAGAGTTAATTTTTTGTTTTCATGCATTTGAATTCAAGTTAATTTTAATGAATCAAAAAATTTGCTTCAAGATTAAATCTAAAATAAATAATCAGTACATAATACTTTTTTGGGGGAACTCCATTGTGCTAGGTGGATTTTAAGAAAACTGGAATTGGGTCAAATGGATAAACATAACTGATAGGATACAAATGTCTCTGTTACTGCGTCTCCTCATTTGCTGCCTAGTGCACACTTAAATGTATTGTACTCCAAGTTCTGCATTAGGTGCCTTAAGTAACCTAACTTTAAGTAACCTATAGCTTAGCTTCTATATTTTCACTACTGTATTCAGTGTTGGCTTTACTGTGGTTTTAAATGAGGAAGGTATAATTCTGTTTTGTTTTTCATGAAAATCATTGAAGTGTGTGTGTGATGTTTTTAAAACATGGGGTTTTTAACTTACCAAGGGCCATTTGTTCAGCTAGCTGGCCATTGTCCAGATTAGTGGACCTCAGTATTTTCAATTCTAAGACGTTTTTACACTCAGCACAAAGACAATATTTATTTTACTTTTACTGTACATGTTTTTCCTTATTTTCTCTTAAAGTATCTTGAGTAAAAAAATTTTTAAAAGTTGTAATACAACTAGTGGGCCCCAGCCTGCTATTTAGAGATACTTCAAGTTCCCATGGTCTTGGACAGAGGCATTTCCCAACTTTGTTGTGTATAGGTGTTGATTCATTTTTCTTTTTCCTAAATTTGGGAAGCAGTTGACAACTCTTTTATTTCTAATAAACATTTACTGGCTTTTGTGGTTGTCAGGTATCATTCACTTTGAATGAAGATCTTGCAAATATTGACGATATTGGTGGGAAGCCAACTTCCATCAGCGCACCCAGAGAACATCCTTTTCTGTTACAAAGTGTGGGAGGACAGACATTAACTGTGTTTACAGAGAGCCCCTTAGGTAAGTAGAATGGAATAATGGATAATAGGTCCGTGCAAAATTGCAGGTGTTTACATGGACGTTTGATAAATTGATGTCAAATATCCAGACTTTCTCTGATGTTGGTCTACAATATTTTATGATTGACTTTTTTTTTCTTATATAGACTAGTTGGTTAGTTAGGCAAAAATGACAACTGTCTGAAATTCAAAACTTGAAACTCCTCTTTTTGGAAACTGACTATACTGTAATTTTGGAACTAGCAACTTGGTGCCAGAAGCTGGGTGTTATGAGGTAGCTGCTTCATAGAAAGTGGAAAGCAACACAAGTCGTCATTCACTTTGAATTTTAATGAGGCTGTGATGATCAAGAGCCAAATTCATACGAGCAATTTCTTTATTAGGCTGACTTGTTAAAAAAGCATTAATTGTGAAAATGTCCAGGGTCAGTATCATTTGCTGAAGCTTGATACTAAAAAAACACAGTGAAGGGACATAAATGAAAGAGAGAGAAGAAAGTTTGCCTGTCTTTGGTGACTTCCTGCTGGTTTTGAATTGTAGCAGGAAATGTGTTTTGTGTAGTTGCACAGCAAAATGTGGGGCAGTTATAGGCTTAGAATTTTAAACAAGTTTCCCAAGAATTCCCCTTGTATAAGTAGACCAGTAAAATATTCAGTCAGACAATAGTAAAAAGAACAAACAATATTTGCTTACAAAATTATGTGTTCAAAAACTTGACATGAATACATGGTATCATTACTATTAAAAAGAAGAATAATTTCATCTATTAAAAACCATGACGGAGAACAGAATTCTACATAATATCTTTTATGTGAGGAATAGGGATGCAGCCTGTATGGAATGGGTTTACATTCCTGGATTCATTCCTGAGCCTGGGTGCCCAGGTCTCAGCAGTGGCCAGAAGAGCGTTTGCACAATTAAAACTAGTGCACCAGCTACGTCCGTTTCCGGAGAGACCTGATCTGGCCACTGTGACACATGCCGTAGTTATTTCCGACTGGATTACTGTAACGTGCTCTGTGTGGGGCTGCCAATGGAAATTGTTAGGAAACTTCAGTGGGTCAAAAATGCAGCAGCCAGATTGCTAACTGGGGATGGTCACAGGGATCACATAACTCCCCTTGTTACAGCAGCTCCACTGGCTGCCAATTAGTTTCCAAGCACAATCCAAAGTGCTGGTCTTAACCTATGAAGCCCTAAATGGCCTGGGTCCAAGCTCTCTCAAAGATTGTGTCTCCCATTTTGAGCCGGCTTGGGTGTTAAGATCATCAGGAGAGGCCTTTCTCTCAGTCCCACCGCCTTCACAGGTGCATCTGATGGGGACACAGGAGAGGGTCTTCTCTGTTGTTGCCTCCTGACTTTGGAACTCCCTCACACAGGAGATCAGATTGGCCCCATCTTTGCTATCCTTCCACAAGGAGACTATTGTATGCAGTTACCAGCTAGTAAGTGCCATGTAACTTTGTGGATCTTAATTCTCAGTGGATGGTGTGAAGTTTTCTTCATGGCCCCTGCCTACTTCCCCATACAAGGAGCTCACACTATGTCCTCTGACCACTTGCGACGGTTCCTCTTTTTATCTCTGCCACCAGTGGATTTTCTTTTATCCACAATTCCAAGAACTGTAGACAAACACTTGTCTGATTACTGTCAACAAAATTATTTATTATTTATTAAGATGTGTTAAAGTTGCTCAGGATCACAGATGTTCTTTATTTAATTCTTATAATCAAACCATTCAAGTGTCAGATACTTTCCACATAAACAATCACCACCTATTATATTTATTGATCTTAACCAGCTTATCACTATTAATTATCTCTTATCACTATCTCCCTGACTATCTATCTCTCCTTCTGCAATTTCTCTCCACCACTCTCAACAACCATCCACCACTCTCTCTTTTTCTCTCTTTCCAAGCCCCTTCTCTCTCTGGTGTCTCCAGCCCTCCACTCCTCTCATAGGCTCATGTAAATGAGACCCTGAATGTGATTGACAGGAATGAAGTGGGGCGACTGCCACAGATGGATATGTGCTAGTACTCTTCGCCTGGAAAGTTACGTGCCACAGGCGATACAGCCACTTTGATATTCCAGGTGCCTCCCCTTCACAAAATTTGGGCTAATTTTTAAACTTTGCCTTTATACTTGTTCTTGCCTTAGTGGTGACATGGGAAGAACTGTCCATTGTATTTCTCACTTCAAAATTGATCAGCTTGTGTGTTTCATACTATCTCTGTGTAAGTTCAAAAACACGTTTAATATGTGTGTGGCATAAATAATGACAGGATGTTTTTTTCAAAAATACGGATGCTCTGATTTTTTAAAAAATATGTCTATTGCTTTGGCTACATATTTTTCAGTATATTATTATTCTTGATATGCGTTGGTTTGCCTAAAAAAAACCCTCTGACTTTAATAATGATAACCGTGAGGAAGGCTTAATGGAGTTGGCTGCATTCATCAGTGGGGAGCCAGATCTCTGTCAGCAAAGCTGCACCAGGGACTGAACTTCCACAGCCATGGTGTCATTCCTTGTTCTCTGTTTGATCCCCTCATCTGCCCACATCAGAAGGATCTCTCACCTGATCCTTGCAAGGCTGCAGAGACTTTAAAGATTGTCAGTCAGCTGGCATAGAAGCATCATATTTGCCTTTTTCCTGGATAATAGTGCTCTTAAGAGAAATCACTGTCCTGTTGGCAACATGATGGGAGGCACCCGAGGCTTCTTGGGCATCCTTTCATTTTGTGCAATGTGCTTTCTAGATGAGAAGTGCTGCTTTGCTTTTCAACTCCTTTCTTGTTAAATGTTTTTTCCCCTCACCTCTTAAATTCTCTTCCTATCTTTGTTTTTGTCTTAATGTTTTTGTCTTTATCTCTGTGTTTGAGAAGTACAAAGGAACTGGTCAGGAGGGAAACCACGTCTAATTTGCTCAATTGCCAAAAGAACAAGAATAGGCTAGATAGCAGAAAACAATTCTTTCCACAACTAGAAGGAGAGATTTGATTGGACTGAGATGAATGGGGGTGTTTTGGGGAAGAAACAATAGCGATCTCAGAACTGGTGTGTAGACATGCTCTGATTAATGCTGTTCTTTTAATAATGTGATTAATTGGATGTTGATTATTTCCAATACAGTGGTGCTCCGCATAGCAACGATAATCCATTCCGGATAAATCATCGCTATCCGGATTCGTCACTATACGGGGCAAAAAACGCCATAGGAATGCATTAAACCATGTTTAATGCGTTCCTATGGGGGGAAAACTCACCGTTATGCGAAGATCCTCCATGGGGCGGCCATTTTCGGTGCCTCTAAAGCGAGGCAACACAGTGGGTGGCCATTTTGGAACCACCTATCAGCTGTACGAAAGTGGGGCCTTTGGGAGGACTGCGGCGGAGGGCTCCCCCATGGTCCTTCCAAAGCCACTGCCGGCATTTTCACCCAGCTGAGCGGCAGTGGCTTTGGAAGGACCGCGGGGGGACCCCCCCCCGCAGTCCTTCCGAAGCCACCGCCGGTAATTTCGCCCAGCTGAGCAGTGGGAGTTTCGGAAGGACCGCCAGTCAGCTGGGGGGAAATGGGGCTATGGGGCTATGGGGAAAAATCGCCATCGCTATGCGGATTCATCATTAAATGGGGTGCCCGTTAAGCAAGGCACCTCTGTACTATCCTCTGGTCTGATTATTCCAGGTCTGATTATTTTCAATATTATCCTCTGGCTTCCATCCCTATTTGCTTTTCCTCTTAAATTATTTAAAAGTTAATCTGTATCACTAGGGCAACAAAGTGATTGTTTTTTTAAAAGTAGCTTTGTATAAGAACTGAACCTGTGATCTTAATATTATTAGCATTGCTTAAAAGCCAAGTGAGCTACTAACCACACCTATTATCTCACTCCCTATCTGTTGCTAGGCAACACATGTTAATACGGAGCACATACCAGAAGAAAACTTAGTGCTAACTGTAGGCTAAATTCAGCCCATAATAGCATCTTTAAAGGTATGAGTGAACCCAGACTTAATTTCTACATATTAATCACAAGGTTATTTTGATTTCTTTAAAGTTTAATGAAATTACAAACACAGTATACTACTGGGCGTTTATGGATAGAACAGCAACTGAAATTACCATAATCAGGTCCACTTTCCTCAGGAAATCTTAGTCCTCTCTGTCACATGATCATTCTCATCATTCCAGAAAGAAGTGACAAATGGGTTGCCATAGCATTCTGTGCTGGGCCACATGGAGTTCTGCTTGTTTGGAAAGGACTTGGATGAAGGAGTAGAGGGAATGAATGCTGATTGAATTTACAGGCACCACAAAACTGGGAGGGACAGCATAAACTTCAGAAGGCAGAATCAGAATTCAAGGTGACTGAACGCAATGGGGAACTGGGCCAAAACAAACAAAATGATTAGAAGATAATATAAAGTTCTGCATTTAGGCTAGAAAAGTCAGGTGCACAAGTGGATGGGTGACACCTAGATTTAGGGCCATATAATAGGGGGGTCTTGGTAGACCAGAAGTTAAACCTAAGTCAGCACTGTGATGAGGTAGTAAAAACATGGCTACTGCAGTTCTGGTCTGCATAAATGTAAATAACAATTTAAAAGTATAGTGTCCAGATCAGAATAAAAGTAGCACACTTTATTTTGGTTATAGGTTATCTGGATGTCCTTGTTGGATAGGACTTCTAGCATTCCCTGTCTAAGAAGAATATTAAAAGGTTGGAATGTGTCAAAAGGGTGGCAACCAAGATGGTAGAGAGTCTAGAAACCAAGTCTGACACCAGCTCTCTTGACCATTGAAGCAGGTGCGCATTTTAGGCTAGTGTTGAATGCTCCAGGGGACCCCGTGGCCTGTTTAGAAGGTGTTATCTCTATTCCTGGTGACTTCAGAAAGTGACAGTTCACCTTTTTTGCCGGGAAAAGGGGGGATCTGTGGGAAGATTGGGGGCTACACAGGCAACCAGAGGACTGCACTTTGCCTGTCTCTGTCCT